CAATGATTTGTGTGATTTATATATTGCTATTTTTGGTCTGGGTGTGATCTTAATTTGTTGATTTATCTTTATGCACAAAGTACATAGGTGGGTTTAATGCCAACTCGCTTCCTCGCTAGCCGACCTTTACCTCGGGTGTAGCAGTGAGAAAAAGGTTCTTGCAATAAATTACAAGAAATAAAAATAGAGACATTAATCCAATAAATAGTACGTAATAAATGTTAGTAAATACACATGTTATAAAATACAATGTGACATAGGAGAAAATCCTAGTGCGGGGCAATGTTTACGAAAATGATTTAAGATTACGTTAGGATTTACATTTTTTTGTTTATATTTAAATGTAAAACTACATAGTTATAAAAGTCTGATTATATCAAAGAGGAAATACGTGATTGGTTATCATTAATCATTAATATCTTTGTAATGTTCTAGATTTTTATAAGATTCGACATTTTATGTAAAATCTTGATACTACAAATATATTAAATTTGTAGGTATGGATGGAAGGTTGGATGTTTGTTACTCTTCCACGTAAAAATAGTGAAATAACCAGAATAAAAATTGCGAAGTAATAGTCTGTAATGATACAAATAGTAGGTTCTTTATTAAATTTTGCATTTAAAAATAAAAACAGAATTGACAGAGCAGGCCTAGCAATCTATGAGTTTCGTTTTTTTGTGAGACTTTAAGAGTGAAGTTTTATCGCAGTTTGTTAGGCCCTGTGTTAAATCTTGAGTTAACCCGTTTGTTAAGGTTTATCAGAGGGCTCCAGCCTAGTCTGGTGAGCTATAGAGAAGAGCAACGTGGCTTTGTTCAAACTAACTTCAATAAATTTTAAACTTCAATAAAGAGGTAAAATTTGTAAGTTTGTATGTAGGGGGTAATCTTTGGAACCGCTGGTCGGATTGCCAAAATTCTTTTACCGACAGAAAGTTAAAACGTTCCTGAGTGCTATAGGTTATAAAACGTCACGCTATCAATGGAGCTATCGATGATCAAATGGAGCCGAGGAACGGGTGAAACCGCGTGACAGTAGTTAGTCTGGTGTATAACGACTGTTTAGCCAATATACATACATATAAATAAGAATATAATACATAATTTGTGTGAAACTATGTGCAACATTGAGTAATACCTATACTTCCGAAAGTGATATAACAGGCCCTATAGAAATGAATGAACCTCTTTTACCGACCTGCTAAAATTTACACTATAGATAGTCTGTAGCAATTTTTTTCCTCTATAATTTAGCAAAATGTCAACCATTGAACTAACCACGTCCGTCCGATATTTCATAATACAAGTGACAGGTAATAACACCTATTTCCCCACTAGCAACTATACGCACGTTCGAACATGTTATAAATCCACGATTCCATGTTTTCTCTAATCGTTTGGAGTTGTAGTGCAATTTCTACATTTTGCTATTGTATTTATAGTTGCGATTTCATTGCAATTAAAATTTTATTGGGATTGTGTGTGTAGGGAAAAATCCTGGTTGTCTTCAAAACCTGAGTGAATAGGTTGCTTTTGGGTAAATGTGCTCCATTTGTAGTTCGCGTCACTCACTTACCACCAGGCATGACAGCGGTCAAATGCCTGCACAATTCTGAACAAAAAAATATTTTTTATGCCCTGCAGGTATGGTTTAGATATGGTAAAAATTCCAATAAAATGTAGGGTAAAACAAAATGCTTATTACCGTAAACTTTCATCACGCCTGTTTCCCTGAAGGGGTAGGTCAGATAAAACAATGTGCAACCATTTTTCATTAGTTATTTTTAAGTCCTATGTAAAAGGGGAGAACCTTTTGCCAAACACCAGGCACAATTCATATTTTGTTGTATTTGTGTCATAATTGAGATATTTCTGGAAAAACCAAAAAAACAACAATATTTGCCCTTGCTCGGTAGTCAAACTTTCGAGCACCCGACCAACTATGTTATTACCGAAAATTTTAATATTTTTTCTGGCGTCATCTCTAAAACTAATGCGTATGAAGAGTTTGGTGAAATACAACCATTGAAAAATCTGTGATATTACGCCATAATACATAATCATAGTTCTCATAATAACATGAGAACTCATATACCTAGAGGCCTAGGTACTCATGTACCTAGAGTAGAAACATATAGGACTCATGTCCTATATGTTTCTTTATCATCATCAGCTGAAAGAAGTCAACTTCTGCTAAACAACAGACCTTAGTCGTTCACGTTGGATAAATCTCACACTTCAAAGCAAACTACATAAAAACTAACCACACCTTATCCTCCAATCTCAAAACACTCAACAATATTCAAACGCTGGCATTTATAAATGTGAACGATAAACAAAGAGTTCTAAAAAAACAATAAAATAAAGTTACATAAAATGAACAAGGCCTGTCGGTGTGACGGTTTCGCGGCAGTTTGCACCTGTCACCAAATGCTAATCCGCGGGGCTCACACAAAAACGCCTTCGTTCGTATTCGGGAGTACGTCGAATTAGGATAGAGGAAGTTTGTACCATATATGTTTAAGGGTGGTAGTTGCTATGTAGATATGTGTTTATATGTACGCTGCTAACCGTGTCATGGGTTTAATTGCCGCAAAGAATAAGTCTTAGTGTAATCTACAAAGATCTAAGACTAAGAATATGAATAATTTCAAATAAAATTACGACACAAGGTTTCGAAAACATAAGTGTAGGTACTTTTGGGATTTGTGACCTTTTTTTTATTTGTGATTTTTGACCTGAGGTTTGAATTAAGAGAAGGAACCGTCGGGTTTTTAGTAAAAGTCTGACACTCCCTCTTGCCTCAACCTGGGCAAAAAAAGGTATTTGATGATACTCCCCCACCAAAAGAAAACAAATATAGTATGTAGTGTACTTATTTGGTTATTTTTGACCGCCTGTTTCTAGAAACTTGTTTTTGACCATTATTCTTCGATCTACCAGAATTAAATGGATTTTCTGATTTTTTGGAATTTTTCCTATAGTCTGGAAATGGCATAAAGCCAGGCTTATTTTTCAGCTTGATACCAAAATAAATTTCAGATAGGTAGTTACAAAATTTTAGGTGGTAACCATAATTGTAAGTAGCTACTACGTGTACAGATTTCAGCAAAGAATTACCCTCCTCAGTGGTTCTGAGAATTTATAATGCGCGTATATTTAAATTGTGCACAAAAGTACGAAATTTATTTAACCCAACAAATTTATATACCAAAGACATAATATGAAAAGTACCTATAAACAATAATAATAATAAGGTCCATATCAGCTTAAACTTTTCGTCGTACTGTCCTTTATATTTATTTAGCGAGAAAATGTGACACATTATCGCCGTTTTAAAAGCTAAGCCTCCTAATCTTGCCATAAAGGGTTGACCAGGGGGCCTCGCACAACAAAACGGGACCAGCCCAAGGGAATAATGTAGTATAGAGGTAGAGGACGGAACATTTTTATTGTGTCTAATCTTTTGGAATTCTACGAACTTTTGTTAGACCACTTTTAACTTTTTAAGGGAGAAATTCATCCCGTCATGGATGGGACAAGAAGGACAATCCATTTTCCACAAACTCTTACCGACTTAAACTTAAGCCGTTTCTTCTCCTTCTTAGGGTTGTTTTTTGAAAAGGTATCATGATACTATGCATTGGACGATGCATTCTCCTACCAAGGGTAGAGCGATAGGGAGTGTCAAACTGTTACTGACTACAAAACCGTACCGTTCATTCTTCTGTTTCGGGATGGGGTCGCAGTACGTATCGTTTTTAGGGCCAATTTTAAGATATGCAATATTAAAAAAATATCTATTAATCCTATTATAATAAGCTTTAAGGTAAATAGTAAAAAAGAAGATGGAAAGTCCTGCAGAGTTAAATAGTGTCTGTCTGACCCATCAGTGGTTGTTTCAGTTGTGGGTGGAATGTGCTACAAAAATTTTAGTAATAATAAATAATAATAATAATAAGTTTATTTGTTAGAATATTGGTACAAAAGGTGTTACAAATAAATGGATGATCCGAATATTCTGCTGTTTCCAGCGTACAAATATTTAAAATTAAAATTAAAAGCAAGCAAGTCTAAATATGAAATAACAAAATTAGAGTAACATTGTTCAATAAAATCTTAAATATAATATTTGCGTTAAGTTTATCTACAGGGTAGTAAAAACATGTTATAGTTTGAATTTTGGGCTAAATTTTTCGTTCAAAAAATCGTTAGTTGAATAATAACATTTATGTAAAAGAAAATAGAATAACTTATTTTTAAATTCCACAACATTAAGAGTTTTAAAAACATTTGGTAATTTATTATAAATACGAATTGCCATACAGTAAACATTATTAGAAAAAAGTTGAATTCGTTGTTGTGGTACACATATCTTATGAGTGTGGTTTATGGTTAGGTCGGTAAACTCATCCAAAATGTTTATAAATTATGTATTATAATGTCGCAAAATTGCCACCTTTCGCATTCGATTTTTACAAAATATACTTACTGAAATCAAAGGTTCATTTGTAAATAACCTGAAATTTCAAACTTTAAAAACTAGACTATAAATGAAAAAGAGACTCATCAACGCAACTGCTTTATTTAGCTATTTAACTGATTGCTTAGGTTTCCATTTTGCTTAAATGATAATGCAATCTTAATTATTTAATAAAAATTGATTTTATATTAACTAAAAATCGCGGGTTACTCACGTGTATAAATTGAGAAAAGCTCTACTAGTTTCGAACCACAGAGGGGTTCTTCCTCATGAGCAGCGTGCGCGGACGCGGCGACGTCGAGCAGCCTGAAACTAGTAGAGCTTTTCTCAATTTATACACGTGAGTAACCCGCGATTTTTAGTTAATTTGGTATGTCTCACGATAGTTATTATAAAAACAATTGATTTTATAGTAAGGTTTTGAGAAGATGTTATTTTGTCATCGATAACATGTGTCATGGTCGTGCAAATGCAAAGTTTATTGTTTTTTATCAAAATCAATACCTGATGGTAAGCAATGAGCGCTGCCCATGGACACCTGCAACAACGGAGACGCTACGAGTGCGTTGCCGACCTTCTGGAGATTATGGATTTGGAGATTTTGGGATATTATAGGGATTGGGGAAGGGAAAGTATTGGGCCTCCGGTAACCGCAATCACACGGTGAAACACAGTGCTGTTTCACGCCAGTTTTCTTTGAGGCTGTTGTATCAATCCGGTCGGGTCGGCCCATTAAGTTTGGTAATTAAAACTGTCTGGATTCATATATATTGCATATTTTAAAACACTTATCAAAAACGCTCAAGAAATTTGTTTGGTAATAAAATGCACCATAGTCATTCTGATCAGTGACAAGTATTAGGCCCGTACCTACTGAATAAAACCTCACCGTTCCTTATTCTGCACCGAGCCAAGACCGCGATATAATATTGCGCTTACTGAAGTTCAAATAGCGTCTAAATGTCTTTCATATTACAGGCTGAAAATAATTAAAAAGTCATAATAAAATAGTATTTTCTACGCTCTTTTGAAAAATTATTTGCTTATATTTGGTTATATTATGTTATTCACACAAAACAACGATTTAACACGAAAACAGCTATTAATCTTAAAATCGCTGACTATTTACACATCAATGTTTAATCTATTGTTGGAAAACCGCCAAACAGAATAATTTGCTGATAAATAATATATAGTTTTATACGTAAATCACTTTACTCAATGTTTTGCTGTGGTAACATTTTGATGCGTTTAATGGGTTGCTGAATGCCGGGTGTACCGCATTTTCAATGATTTTTGCTTCATACTCAATGTTGTTGTGCGCTCATTTGAATTCCTAAATGGATTACTGACATCCACATCAAATAATTGTACTATTTAGTGATTAATTCTAAATCTATTTATAACTAAGCAGCTTCTCTCGTGTTCTTTGGGACTGTGCAACTCGAGACTGTCTATCTAGATATTTGTCCATGAGATTGTTTTATTTTTCGGTTTCTTTAGCTAAGTATAAGTGTTACACTGTTCTTGCAAAATAGAACCGACTTAATTGCGTAACAAAGAAATGAATTATAAAACTAAATGAAAAACATTAACCTTGCTCGTTCTTCTCTAGAGGAATCTACACTTCGGGACAAGCTTCACTAGAACGACACACTAAGTGCTAACTTTTTGATTATTATATTTTTTTCGAATTTCAATTCGTAAGTATTCTATAAACTATGAAAAATGAAGGTAATTTGATCAGGGTCAGTGACCTTCCTAAATTATTTTATTAGAACAGTAATTACAATACACAACTGGTTGCTGTGCAACGTGTCACGGGTACAATTTCGGAACGGAACGATTCTTTGTGACAAATATACATACATTGTAGAACAACTACATTATGTGTTTTCCAGAAAACGTTTTCGGGTATATTATGTATGAATCCAAACGTACCACCGTTTCGGGAAAATAAATAAGAGAAAAATAAACTAAAATTATTTTTTACACAAAACTTAATTCTGTCATTTTCCCCAAAATATTTAGTTGATTACACAAAGTTGTATAAGTCGATCATATTATATACATACTGCAATACACCAGTCCCCACTTTACACTTTAACAATATATAAAACAAACTCACTACCCAAACCATAACCTCCAAACTTCTACAATACTATCCGAGTAAATGTTATACCAGTACCTACTATGAATCTGAACTACATAGATCAACATACCCTAGATGTGGCAAACTTTGAAGTGATCAATGTAAATGAGAACGCTCCCAGAAGCTGTCAAAACACAGAACAGTTAACCGCTTGTATTTGGTGAATTGTAATGAGACTGGAAGTGGTAACGGAATTGAGCCTTAGATGAAACAGGGTTTCGTAAAATCAAGTGGGTTTTGGAGATTCTTGAGGATTAAGTGCTGTGTAAACCTGTAGCTGGTTGATTTAAATTAAGCTTTGTTTGATTATGTTAAAGTTGAAAATAAAAAAAAATCGTACACGTGGTTCGCAAATCTATTGCCATACAAGAGGCACAAACCTGCATGATACCTCTGTATGTTATACACATTCCAATTAAAATTAAAAGCCCATTGCACAGCCAAACTTAGTCCAATCAGCCAGATACCTGATTTTTTTTAAGAAAAATAATTGTCGACTGTTTTTTCTAATAGTAAAGTTTTTGTTTTGTATTCATGGCATTTCATTTTAGTATCACATAACAGCTATTGCATAACTCAATATCAGACTTACCGAACGAAAGCTACCTATCAAAGCTAAATATTCAAAAGTGAACTATCTAACAAGAAACACACAATAACAAGCACCCTTTAAAACAAAAAAAAATATCAATTGAAAAGTCCCAAAAATCAAGAGTATCAAAATACACGGAAAAAATTCTGTCGTAGCTAGTATACAAAAGTACGCAACGGAAAAGCCTTTGGTACAATTTACACTTTCTCGATCGGATGACGTCAGGGCTGTGTTGGAAGTTGAAAAAAAGGTATAAAAAATGCACGTTGATTGGGTCTCGGAGACCTGATACTGAGTTTTGAAGTGTTAACTAGTTTTTTTTAGTGTTGGCAACTTTATTAGTTCAGTGTTTAATGGCCTGTTGCATCCCGTGATAGGAAAAGGAAAAAGATTGATGATACGAAGTTGTGTTAACGTCTTTTATTTGTAATTGTGGACTGTCCACTTCTTTTATTTTTATATGGTATTAATGGAGTGAGAGACGTGAATATCTTCTGGTTTAATGTCTATGGGTCTGCGAACGGCGAGCAAGGGTAGCCCACCATCAGAAAAGAACCAGACCAAAGCGCACGGTGCCTTGCGTTCCATGCGCGTTCCAAGAGATATCAAACCACTAAAGACGAGGCCCTATAAGGCCGATGTTTTGACGGTGTTGCGTAGTTTTTAGTCAGTAAGAGTCTGACACACTCTCTCGCCCCACATAAGGCATCTGATGATTCCTCCCTTAAAAAGATACGTAAATAAACTGAAAAAAGGTCTGCAAGTTTCCAATCATAACAACATACGAGTGAAAAAGCGTGGGAGTAGCTAGTTTGCAATAAATTAAGTATGTCTCCCTATACTAGTAGTTACTATTTCATACCATCAAATTGAACAGATACTGCTACGCGGCTTTAAGGGAATAATTTTATGATCAAACTCTAATAAAAAAAATTGTATTGTTTCAGATTCACAAATGACAACAAAGAAGTTCTCAGAAGAGCCCGAATTTGAGCGTCCAATAGGAAACCACACATTCTTCTTGGGTAGAGAAGCTGTACTCGGTTGCGCTGTCACGAATCTTGGTAAACATAAAGTAAGTACAATTTTTTAATACCCCGAAAAAGGACACTAAAGATTTTTTTAAATGACATTTAGAATTGATAAAAGCATTACCCGCGAACCAGTCAGTATACTGTGCTCATCATTTTAGGCATTCATACATTGCAAGTTAGTGTGGGTGAGTTATTCGGCTTAACTGAAGTGATGACACAGCCTCACAGACTAACCAGCTTACATAATACTTACATTGTATTTTGCCTCGTGAGTGAAGTTACCAGAAGCCCAGTCCTTCCTACAGTTATCCCCCCCCCATCTTTAAAACTTGGAAATCATAATCTCTAAAATACAAAGGCGGCAAAGTACTCGTAAAATCTCTGGTATTAAAGGTTCTATAACTATCCACCAACCATAAAAAATGTAATTCGTCAGATCGGGAATGAGTCCAAATGTTCACACATAGGTATCTCAACTTAAAGTGCTCAAAATGTAGGTAGGTAGATTTAATCTGCATAAACCCGTGAGTGCAGTTTTTTTGTCTAGAATCAAGTTGTTTGTAATAAGTATAATAGTGATAGCAAAACTTAAAATTCTGGGAAATAAATAAACAATTCCAGACCAAATAATATATCTGACATCATTGACAGTTAAGAGTTATAAAAGTTATACCTAATTAGACCTAATTATTACATTTTTCTAATAACTATGGCGTTCGACACAAAATTAATAATATTGACGACTCACTAACAAAAACTATTGGAGAAAATAATTGTGTTACACAAGATTCCAGATATATCGCCACGAATATCTCATTAACAATGATTCCAATCGAAAACACGGACGACAATCATTTTAAAATTAAAATCCATTTACCAACCAGTGATAATGATTACGCCGGTTTCGGTTAACGACGTATATCGTGATAAACCCACATTAACGAAACGCGTTCGGGTTGAAAACTAGCTAACTTTAATCATTAAAGCACCTATGGTTATGGAACTGTTTATTACTTTCCATATTCGAGTAAAGTTATTACAATGAATGGTTTGCCTCTTACTGGGTCAAAGTCCAGGTGAAGCTGCTAACGATACTTGGTGGGATAATGGTTATTACGGCTATCTGTAAACGTGGTGATTAATGATTAGTAAATTAATCCTTCTCCGTGAAAGAAGAGGTCTTTGTCCAGTTTTTGAATGATTACAGTGAGTGATGATAATAGTGACAGTTATAAAAAAAAATATGAGTTTTTTTTTTAATTTATTCATTATAAAACGTCATACTGTCCGAAGTCTGTGTTTTATTAAATAATTTTCTGCTGATTTGTTTCTTAACACACAATTACCTACCATTGAATCACCATTATTTAATTTAAACACATTTTAAAGAAAAACTTGTACCATTAACTGTTAAGAACAACTAAGAAATTTCTTTAAGAAAATGAGGTATTTATTTAATGTTGCCTAGGTATAAAGCTATAATACACATTCCACATATCTGAAGTATGTACATCAAGATGTCTTTTTTCACACACGTTTCTCTAGCCTCATCACATAGCCAGAATTAAGCAGTTATACATAATGTAGTTCGCCTAGCAATTCTAATTACTAAGTTTCAAGTCAGTACTGTACTTAGGAATATTCCTAACTTAGGTACCAAGTACTAACAATACTTCCTACTTTGATTTATGATGGAACTAGATTTCCATCCACAGCTTTGACTACAGGATCTAAATAAAAATGAGGCCATGTCATTCTTTAGCTTCCAAACTATGTCCAGACATAAAAAATATTGCTTATAATTATTTCAACCAAAAAAAAAAACAAAACACTTTTGCTATTACAACATTACTAAAGTTCTAATTGCTTCAATAAAATTCGACCCAATAACAAAACAATGAAGTTCAAAATCTATTACAAATATATAAAGCAGCTTTATTATATGCTGAGGTACCTGTAAACATTGTTCACATTGTGTGTTTGAGGCCTTTTAGGTACAAACAAAAGACTATCTAGATCGATGACCTTGATATTGTTTCTTTTGTTTAACCTGTCGGTTGGTAGTTCTAGTATCGATGATCAAGGTCTGATACTTGTATCTACAACAGTATAATAGAATACCACGTTTGTTATCTATGAAAAAGGTGGGTAGATGTGTATTTAGAGAGATTTTGCAGATGTGTTTTTAGTAATAATGACCAAAGCTTTTGCCGGGAATATGAAATTCAAGCTTCAATTGTTACAATGAGGATTCTCAAATTTAAACAATAGGAACCTATTCGCATGGTTACTTTCAAATCGTGATTGGCGCAAACTAAATAAAAGTATAAATTTTGCTAATAATAATTTAGTCAAGTTGGAATAACTCGATCAACAATAAACTTCCAAGAAGGATCCAATAAATATAACATGTAAATTTAGTGCAATATGTATTAAATTTCCAAATTAAACCATGAATACAAACACAATTTCAAGAAAATTTAGTGTCTAAAAAGCCCCAGCTGAGACAGTGCACGTAAATGCACCAACTTCTACAACTTTCCGGAGATAATTCACCCTATATTTAGTCACAGTTTAGCTATCTACAAGTTGTAGAACAGCCTGTAACACGCCAACATGGCCGCCAACTATAACACCTTGGAAGCCAATACTTAAAGCCACTTGTAAGCTAGTTGCTAACATGTTCCAAACTTTCACACTTATCTTGATATATCGCCAATAACCAACGTACATGGGCCAACTTGTTCCACCTACAAAATTAACATCAATTTGTATTTAGAACGTTAATATTCAAATGCTTTTTTTCTCGCAAATTAATGGCCGTAATTTCTAAGAAAGTTGCCGTGCCGTCAGCTTTAGAGAGCCATAAATATCGTCTAGAAGTTTCTGTAACAATTATTAAGTTTCTGTTTCGCAATGAAGTGTGAAATTGTTGGAAAAAGAATATTGTTTGTATAGTTTACCTAATAGGGTAAAACTACAACACTATCTTAGTGTTGTACAATTTCTTGGGCAGTTTGCGTAAAGTATACTTTTGGAAAAAAATAATGTTAAACAAAAAAACACCTATAGAGGTTGAATATTATTAACCCCAAGTAACAAACGATGTATCAAAAAAACAATACAACGTCATTCGTAACATCAAACTCCTTTATTGTAATTGGGTATTACACATTTCTTCAAAAAGCACCCTTAAAAATAACAAACAAATCGCAAAATAGGATTATAAAAAGACCCTGATTAGCTGTATTCTAAACAATAACGATACAGAAAAAAACCCGATAAATATCAAAACAAAAATCGTAATAAGCTTCCCTTAAACCCAAAACAATCTCGAAACATGGAGAAAAATTCCCGCGAAAAAAAATTAACGTCAAAATGGCCGTGTCTTTTACGGAAAACGGGCACTGGAAACGAAATCTTTCTGCCTTTGTCTGTGGCAATTAGAGCCACAAAAATTTACCGATTATCCTTCATTAAGAGTTGTTACACTGGTTGCTTCGGTGTCTAGAATAACAATGCACGAAATAGTGCTGCACCTTTCCACGTCGTGAATTTTAATACCGGTCGCTACATGCGAAGGCTGAATGCCGTAGTATTCTTTGTTGCCTTTGCTCTTGCTTTCTTTTAGCTCAGCTCCTTCCGTGATTTTATCTTATTGTTTGTGGCTTTTCTTTTTGTGGCTGTATGAATTTGTTTTGAAGTGAAATATGTGTTGAGTTTTGTAATTTAGGACTTTATGGGAATGTTTTTCCTTCTGTTTTTTTCTGAGTAATTTGTTATCTGGTTTCTGGAATATAAATGTGCAGTCTCTTAGTCAGCTTTTACAATTGCCTTGAGTTGAATTATTATTACGATTTAGTTCTTAAAATCAAACTACCTTCACAAATCAAGACAATAAATACAAAGCAATAACATCAATTTGTAAAAATTAAGACAAAGGCTAAAAACAACGGATTCCCTATAAAACATCGACCAAACTTAAATGTGGAAACTACCAATATTTATGGCACAAAATGTCCGATCGATCTCCGGAAGAAATTTGACAGGCCTGAAAACTATCACGAATGGAAGATAAGAGCGAAACACAAAGGGATTCGAAGGGCCGTGGACTTAACTGGGACTCTGACCCAGTAAGGAAATCTTCGACAGTGATATGAAGTGATTGGAGTGATTTCCAAACTAATATCGTTTTTATCCTGTGATAGATTTTGTTTTAATTTTTTTCGGCATGTTACAAAATATGTTTATATACTGTTTTATTTGTTCGTAAGCTAAGAGGTGCTTTGATATACCTATGTTAAGTATTAGCAACATGCAGTTCAGTTTCACTTAGAGCAGATATATCAGTAGTCAGATAAATGTTATTTGAGGAATAAAATTGTTGCTGTCACTGTCTGGTACAAACATTCTGACGTGACAGTATCATAATTATTCCTCAGATAACATCTATCTAACCATTGAAAAATTTGCCCTTAATAGTGTAGATCTAGGTTTGTGTATTTTGAATTTAGAATGAAATCTTTTGGGTTTCCAGAATCATAATCATTTTGAGAAGAGTATTTATAATTTTAGATACGTATAATTGTAGCTTCGATTTTTGATTTTTGAATTTCATCAATGACTTGCTGATTTTGTGTCGTATTTGTCGTGAAAGTTAAATGAGGTAAAATACAAATACTTCTTTCCGTGAACGAAATAGTACCCTTATTATCTCATTCGGTAAAACAAAGAAAATAACTCATAATATACATTAAAATTTATACCTCCTTTTTACGAAGAATATTTTATACGGTTACCGTCTTTGATCTAATAGTAGACTTTATGCAAACAACTATTAGGTCACAAATGAGCATTCTCCAGTTACTTGTTTGTTTGAAGGAATACAATTACTGAATACAATTGAATATAATATTCAATTATTCTACCTAATAGTATTTTATTAGTAGGTAGCATTATTTTATTTATTTTTGTTGACTGTCGCGAATTTATTCCTCCTTATTATACATGGGAATGTCTCTTTTAATAAAATATAGAAAATGATAATTTGTATCGAGGAATTTCACAAATGTGTTCACATTAATTTCACCAGTTACTTACCTACCTCAGTTGTGAGAAATTGTTTACTGAACCAGTTCATAACTTAAGAATAGTTTTAGTAATTATTAAATGTCCAGTAAAGCACTAAGAGACTTTCGGCCACATGTTTTATGAAATAATCTTTCTACGCGTTCGCGTTCAACGAGCTATCAGACCACCAAAGACGGGGCCTATTAAGGCTGATGTCCAGCCAGAGTTGCTGGTGCAAGCACAGTAAGGTACCGTGCCCTAAATCAGGTGAAAAAAACGGGGAGGTTTTGAGTCAGTAACAGTCACCAACTTAGGCAAGAGAAACCACAACATATGATTAATAATTGAAATCCCAAAAAGGAGAAAGTCAATTCAGCCGGTTGTAAGCACCAAGAGAGAGGCTTCTGGACCGATTTTGGTGATTAGTTTTTTTATTAGACGAGCAATCTGCTATTTGCCTCACACAAAAATATTAGCTAAAATGCAGTTTTCTCTATTGCATAAGCAGTAAGTCATTCCGATATAAATATTCTATTTTACACTTGATCATAGATGAGTTTAATATCATGAAGTTTCAAGTCTGAATGAAATAATCCTCCCTACAATTTCTTTTTAAATCAAACGCAACATTAGTGGCCAGGTGCAGTGATTTTACGACCATTACAAAGGAACAATTTGTTCGATAAAAGTGGAACCATTATTTACCACCTGCAGCTTTGTGATAAGCGAAAACATTAAAACTGTAGATTTCTTAGCGAATTACTAAGAAATCCTTTTCAAAGTCTATGGCTTTTACAATCTGTGTTAAGATGTGATTTTATTTATAAATGTTGCTACTTAAATAAATTGGTTTCAGTAGATATTTCCTTTTTGTTTTTTCTAATTTCCTATAAGAGCACCAGGACAGAAACTTAAGCTCCATTTACACGATCCAAGTTTTCGTGCCTATTGCATACAATTAATAAACAATATGTTTAGTATGACGAACCTTATTGGAGATGGAGCGCAGGCGCGACATCATGGAGGCGCAACCTGCGGGCCAGCATGTTGCAACGGACAGCCAGCGACCTGCGCTCCCTGTCAATGTCTACATTGTCTTTTAAGTCGTCAGTGACCCAATGGCCCAAGTACTTAAATCTCGAAACCCGAGTTAACGGATTTACTACAAAACCTACTCTTATACATATAAATATGGTATCTTATATACACAGACTCATTATTAATTTTCTATCAAATATAACTCTACTACAACAAACATATCTGTGACTTAAAATTGACTGTATACTCTACATAATTCCAGGGAACCTTCACATGAGTCCTATAAAGCCAACCCACAGGTTAGCAGCATGTTCCCAAAATTAATCTCCCGTAAACCTTTATTTAACCCAAAAAGTTCAAAACTAACCTTGGCATTTAAATTATTCTAGTATAAATTGCTTTGGGAGGATCCACTTCTATGCTTTAATATAAACACAGTTGAACCAACCAACAATTTGAGTGAAACTCAAAAGTTATTCTTCAGCATTTAATAACTAAGGTAGGAACTGTGTGGTTTTAGATTATCGTATAAAAATAGCTTGTATACTAACAGTATAAAGTCTATATTTGTGTAAAACTATATAAGTTTTTGATAGTACCTACAATTTTCAACTGTCAAAAATATTTTCCGTCAGGTGCTCGAAGGACCTTTACCTTTATGCCAACTGATTGTTTTCCATAATATTATTTATATCATCAGCTTGTGATAATCCCATTGTTGAGATAAAGATTATTCTCTCAAGAAAATCTAAACTAATATTATAAAAATGCGAAAGTAACTATGTCTGTCTGTCTTTTCCTCACGCCTAAACTACAGAACCGATTTCTGTGAAATTTTTTACATACATAGTTTGGAACTTGAGAAAGGACATATGATAGTTTTTATACCAAAAATTTTCCAGAAATCACTATTCCACAGGAACATCACCCCACTTATTTTAGACGGATTGGCAATTTCTAGCAAGGTATCCTTACGGTGTTTTCCGTCACCGTTCATCATTGGTGTCAAAAATTTAATATTTTTGAAATCCTAGTAATTTTTCTTTCTCCCTAAACAAGACCTAAACGTTTCATTCTTTTGCAGGTAGGCTGGCTAAGAGCAGAAGACCAGACAGTCCTCACGATGCATGACAGAGCAGTTCTGAGTGCCAGGTACTCAGTACATATGGACGCTCCAAGAACTTGGCAGTTAAGGATCAGGCCTCTGAGGGCAGAAGACCGAGGCTGTTATATGTGCCAGATCAACACGCAGCCAAGTATGAAGTGGCAGATTGGGTGCATTGATGTTTATGGTAAGTAGACCTTTAGTAATATTTGTTTATATCACAAAATCAAGCTTTAGATACTAACCATGCCATGGTATTTATTTTCAAAAGATATGGATGTTAGTTGTACTTAAAGTTTCTACAAGGTTATAATATGGCTGTGATAGCTTTTCATGCATGACGGTGCGAATTTGAAAATTGGCAAGTGCCAATGTGACTTTTTATGAGTTAAATTATTATATAATTATGTAAGTATTTACTTTCAAAGATTTACGGTACATGAGAACATCTTAATTTGCTGAGTATGAAACCACCAATCCACCTTGAGCAAGTGCTTGGAGATTAATGGTCATACCGTCTCCCTCATGACAATAGGTTGTACAGCAGTGGGCACTTATAGGCTGATGATTATGATGATCATTATATTAACGTTCATGTGATATATTCGACCGAATAAATTTCAGGCTTGTAACTCGATCTTGATACGAAATCTTTTGAACTTGCCAAACCTTCGTGTTCACTGTAAGTTTCCCTGAGGTTCTAAGAAACGAAACAAATTTTTCAGGAATAAGGAACATTACTTAAAACCTGTAACGTAAAAGACTTTGTAAGAATACCACGAAATCCTATTTAGGAACTTCACATTTACCTAATCCTGTCTTATATTCTTAGTGAATTTTCAGTCAAACTGGGTGCTTTAGCTACACATTAATTCATTTTGCCAATATTTTAGTAGGCTATCGATAAATTAGGATTTGAGCGTATACCCTGCTCAAATTATGAGACATTTTCATTCTCGTGAGAAGCTGGTAACTAAGTTACAGTTTTTACGATGAAGTGAACTTAAAGGCTTACTAGAGATCTACCCTTTATTTGATAGAAAGGTGAACATTCTTTACACCTAGAAAAAAACTGTATGTGAAGCGTCGAAAATTTTTATTTAAAAAAAACATTCATTAGAGAAGTTCTACTAGTTTAAAGTCATAACGGGATACTTATTTATGAGCAGCGTGCGCGTCGTCACTTACACAGCGAAATACAACACACGCCAGTATTTGTTGAGGCCATGGCATTTCTCCAGCCCGTCTATTCGAGCCGAATCATAACTCTCCTACACTAAACTATGCAAATACAGAACCGTATATAGATATCAAAACTATTACCCATTTCTATCTAATGTAGTGAGATAAATTCTCAATCTAGATTCAGTTGGCCACCGCAGCTGAACGAGGGCTGACAACCCATTCGTCACTTGTCAACCTTTTGCTGTTAGGGTTCGGGTCTTATAACTCCACGACACTTCGAATTTTCAACTTTATTTTATTGTTAGTAGAAATTATTTAAAATGGAATAAAATATTGTAAACACAATTACCTACATGAATTTTTTGTGATTGAAAAGTAGAAATCGGTTTCTATTTAGAGTGTTAATTTGCTTTGAGTTTCGTAGAGAGAGCGTTTTTCAAAAAGACATGGTTTTTTTAACTGTTCAGATATCGAATGGCTGCCTAGTCGGCTAAGTTGAGTGTGACTTGTGTTTAATGACCAATTTTTCTGTCTTCATTACCTGAATAGACCATGTTTTAAAAAGAAATTCTATCAATTTATTTTACCTAAAAAAATACAAAAGTTTTTTTGTTATTTCTGTGCTTGTGCAAAAATAATTGTTTTTCTTTCTTTCTCTTTTCTTTCTTTCCACTTGCCCATAGTGTAGTGACTGGCATAAAGTTTATATTCGCTTTACTTCCTCCAAAGATAAGAAGAGCTTGAATATCGAACTCAATGGTGTCCAGGTCTCAGTGGATGGAATTAGGATAAACCTGACGATGATGGTAATGAAAGGTTCATTAACTATCATCTATTCTCTATTCTCTTTAAACAGATTATTAGCAAGATACTTTTGCAGATTACATTACATCATGTAAAGACACAAAAACATGTCATTCAAAAGCCTCAAACTAAACAGTTTACCCCTAATTCCGGCATAGATCAACCAATTAACACAAGGTGAACAACTTAAACGGGTCTTTTTATCTATTCTAAGTGACGGATAGGGAGCTTATCCAGTACACGGACGGTATTAGGCGGCGACCGTGCCTAAACCTACTTAATCCAACTAAGAATAGATTAGAAACGTCTTGAATATATAGGTCACTCAGTTTAAGTGACAGGTGCGGCTTCTTTAATAGCGTGTGGTGCAGTTCTGTACAGGGTGGGTTTTTATAGGATTATGGATTCTTCGTGGGGTTAAATTACTTGTGGAAAGTTTGGACGTTTAAGGGTTTAAAAACGTCTTATACTTGGTGTATTTATACGTGTTGTATTAAGCAACAAACGAGCAGACGGCTTGCTTGATGTTAAGCACTCGGCGCCGACCATATACACCTGTATATGCAGAAGTATTAAAAGTGCCTTGGCGGCCTCCCAGGGTTGGTTTTGGAGGCGGAGGGAGAAGGATTCTGTTTTTTATTATTTGGAGGCGGAAAAACATATTATAAGCATTGGTTTTCGAAAGAATCGTGGTATGTCACTTTTAAGCAAGGCTATTCGTAGCAGTAGTAAAAGTCCTTCCGTTCTTAAAATATCATAAATTTTTTAGTAATTTTATGAGGGTATCTTCACAAAAGTGTTCCATTGTGTAAATACATCAGCTTCTAATTAAGCTTAATGTGACTTAGGATCTACTAGGAGAAAATAACATTGAGCTTGATCCATCAAGTTGATTCTAAGACATGGTAGGAGTTCCCATAGTTGCAATCAACTCACCAACGCAACAGATTAAGGTCAACTTATATGTATATGTAAAACAAGACATTGTAAGAATTGCCATAGTTACATAGGGGTCAACTCAATAAATGTAAAAGAATAGTTGTTTACTTTTTAAGAGTACATATGCTGAAGTACATCAACTCTTTTAACGAAAAAAGCGCTGTGTTTTATACTGTGTGAATGAAAACCGTAGGCCCCACCCTACCCTTCCGCCAATCCTTAAATCTCCAAAATCCTAAGCCCCAAAAGGACGGCTACGTACTCGTTATTCCTCCGTTTTTGTTGTCCATGGGCGGCGCTGATTGCTTAACGCTTATCATCCAATCACAAAAATAAAAACCCTTTAATCCAAACTTAATATTATAAATGCGAAAGTAACTCTGCTTGTATGTCTGTCTGCCTGTTTTTTCATCACGCCTAAACTACTGAACCTATTTCTGTGAAATTTGGTTCAGAAATAGTTTAGAACTCGAGAAAGGACATAGAATAGTTTTAAAAATCTGAAGGATATCACTATTTCACGCGAACGAAGTCGCGGGCAAAAGCTAGTCACTCATAAAGTGTATTGTAAATTGTCATCGATTTTAATGCTTCAGTCAAACAGTTTTCAGTTAAATACAGAACGAACGCTATGTTAGATTGAAATATGCCTATGTATGTGTCACCGTCATAGCCAGATTGAATTAAAACAATTACACCATAGCTGTTTTTAAAGGTCACAAACAAAAACCTATCCACTAATTAAAATTCAATTTTAATCAACAAACATTTCTGTAAACAGAAATTCACATATTAAAAACTATTTTCGACCCTGAACGTAATGATACCTTTAATTATTTATTCATCATATTTATTAACACTTGGCGCCTCCAATTTAATATTGGTATCAATATTATAATATTATTATTAAAAGCTTAAAGTAGGGCAAGTGGGAGATCCAAGATTAAGTGTGGGAGAGTCAAGCTTCGGCACGAATGGGTCGGCTAGACCGAAGTGATACCTCGGCCTTACAGAATACCGACGTGAAAAAACCACAGCGTTGTGTTTCGCCTTGTGAGTGAGGTTACCGGAGGCCCAATCCTTCCCCGCCCCCAATCCCTCCTCAATCCCTAAATCTCCAAATCCCTAATCCCTGAAAGGTCGGCAACGCACTCGTAACTCCTCCGTTGGGAATGTCCATGGGCGGTGCTAATTACTTACCATCAGGTAATATGTCTGCTCGTTTGCCGACCTATTCCATATAAATACTGAGATATGATTTAAAAAACTGACAATTCTACCTGAGGTGAATACCAAGAAAAAATATAATTTTCATGTACACGTTCAAAAAACTAAAATAAACTCTACAGAAAAAGAAACATCCCGTACATTTACACAGTCCAATTTTCGAACTCTATTCATAACCAGAAAAATATTGCATCCGACCTTTTTCAAATCATGACACTAGGTCAACACATTATAATAGTGGGGTCATATTAAAATTATAATAGACTACGGAAATCGGAATCCGCCCGTGTGGTGCGGCCCACTGCCAGCGATCGATCACCTTGGACTTACATGTCCCAGAAACTGGAAATGGAATAAAATGGGCGCGGCCACATGCTGGTGAGGTATCGCTAAGTACTATACACTTTTATGTAAGGTAGAACTTAATGGAATAAAGTGGCATAGAACGTCTGGTAGGAAGTCTGTGTGCTTGGTTATGTTTATATTCATAAACACAGCTTTTTTAATTGTTAATATACAGAACTTTGGTACACAAGTCCGGTAAAACATTTTCGTTTATTGTTTCAGTTATCACGATCTCCGGTATTATATTTTAACGAAAAGACCATTCTGATAACTGCCATCTGTTGTTGGATTATTCATGAAATGTGACGATGTTCATTTGACTACATTTTCGGGTATGCTCCTCGATTATTTATCATCATACCAAAAATAGCTATAAATCATTTAATCGAAACAAGTCAGAAAAAAATCTCAGTATAAAAACCCCATCACAAACGCCAACGATAATGTTGAAACAAAAACAAAACATGCATATAATCAACCACTCACACAGTTAAATACCCCAAAAAACATCGAAAGAACACGCCACGAAAAATTCACAAAACATTTTATTGAAATCATATTTCATTACGCAAGTTTTTGTCTAATTTATGGCAGAATTTCCAAGGAGACCAGCCAGAGTTTAGCAATTTTGTGTTCGCCCTCGTATTTGCATGCCTCGGTCGGGATTTCTTTTTCAATTTCGTACTT